TTTTTTTTTTTTTTTTTTTTTTTTTTTTTTTTAGTACCAAGAATCGAACTCAGGTCCTTGTGCTTGCAAGGCAGGCGCCGGAACCACTGAGCTAAATCCCCTGCCCTCTAGCTATAAATTAGATGAGCTTCCAGCTCTAGCCATGCAGAGACCATCTCTGTGTTTCTGAGGAATGCAGACCTGGCCTTCAGCCCCTACCCGCAACATTCAGCTGAGACCTTCCTAAACCTGCACTTGTCAGCCACTAGGAGGCCCAAGGGCCAGGGTAGGGCAGTGGGAGCCCAGCAGGAGAGAGGGCAGAGCCAACCTGACCCTCAGATTCCTCTCTTGCCCTGCGAGGAGGAGGACTTACCCCATGAGACAGGGTCAGAGAAGGAATTTGGGAGGTCAGATGGCTTGCTGTACTCCCTGTGGAATGCACTGGAAATTCTTTACAAGCCAGGCCACCCCTTCTGGAACAGTCCCTCAGCATGCCCAGGGGAAGCTAAAACAGCAGGACATCTTTCTCTGTCACTCCCAGACAATGAGCAAGGTCTGTCCACGTGGATGTGCCGGGGTGAGGTGGGGCAAGGGTCACCCTTGAAGGGACACAGTGGGAGGGCTGGACCCAGAGTTAACTCTTTAATGCCAACAAGCTTGGCCCACCCCACCCCCACCCTGAGGGACCCTTCTGTGGGGTCTGATCTCCAGCAGCCCCAAAGTTCTGCTCAGCCCTTGCTCTTCTCTAGGGAGGGAAAGGGTGTGAGGCCAGGAAGTCCGGTGGAATTCACATTTCTGCTTGGACAGCCCAGGCCCTCTGGACAATGGGCCTTCCTAGTGCTTCCAGGACAGCGTCCAAGTTCCCAGAGACCACTGTGGATTCATGGGCTTGCTCTGTTCTTTGGGCCTTAAGGGGAACCTGCCTGGGAAGGTGGCCTTTGGCCTAGAGCCAAGGGGGTGGGCCGAGCAGTTTGGGGGACCCTTACTGGTTACAGAATCACTATATGTGTGGCAGGCAGAGGCCCACCAATGACCAAAGCCATTCTACAGATGAGGAAATTGAGGTCCCAAGACTTTACAGCTGCACAGCACCTTTAGTGGCAGATCCGGGATATGGACCTCTGTCCCCCACTGCTCATACAGGCTTCTCCCACTTGACTGCACCAGCCATGGAGTCCAGACCCCACATCACCTCCCCTCTGAGGGCAGTGGACTGCTCCCCACCCAGCATCCACTCCAAGTGGGCACAGGCAGTGCTGGAAGGGGGCACTGGGGCCTAGGCCCCCTGCTGCACTTCCCTTCCCTAGAGCCTCTCTTGGTTCTTACCTCCAAACAGGGGCTGCCGACAGATCCCAGAGGTGTCTGCTTGCCTCGGCAGGGACTGGGCAAGGGCAGGGATGGAGAGGGCTTTAAGCAGGCATGTGGGCTGGGGCCTCGGGAGCCAAGCCCTGTGGTGGGAGGAATGTGCTGCAGGAGACGGGAGGAGGGGACACAATGGAGGGGTGTTGGCTGCTATTCTGGCAGGTGCCGGGGACAGAGCTAAAGGAACGTGCACCCCACACCATATAAGCCCATGTGGCCCTCCAGCTGCTCAGATAAGCTATTTAAAACCAGAGCAGATATGCAGGGAACAGGCTTGTAACACAAACCAGCTGTCCCTCTTGAGAATCCTGATAAAACAGATGCCAGCAACCCAGGCCTGGGCAGGCAGGCTGGGAGCAGGGGCAGGGGCAAGCACTGATCTGCAGCTCCTCTGCACATGATGCCGGGGCTAAAGATGTCCTCCTCACAGGCCAACCAATTTGGGGAGTTTTTTCAGGCAGTTCACAGAGCCTATGGACCTCAGGAAGGGCATCTGGAAAGCGGACCTACTCCATGAGCCCTCAGCCACATGCCAAGCCCCCTTCCAAGGCAGGGGTTGGCACAGGCAAGGAGACACAAGGACACACAGAGGAGGTCCGACATGAGCTAGAGCAGCTGCTCTCCTCAGAGGGGCACTGGGCTGTATGAGGGAGGCAAGCGGTTGAAGTTCATTCTGTAAGGGTTTCAAAATCATGCTGAGTGACTATGCCCTGCTAACCCCACTGTACGATCCACACACACCGGGCCAGGGTTTTTGCCCTTGGCTTGCCTGTGTGTCCCTCAAGTACAGTGCATAACAGGAATGAACAGAGCAGTGCAATCCAAATCTGTGCACAGCCGAGCTGCCTCTCCCCTCAACCTTTCTGCATCTGCAAGGCCCAGCCCTGCCCGACACCAAGGGACGTCCCTGCTCTGGAGGGGCCCATCTCCCCCCATGGGCTCTAACACTTCCTGGTCTTGCTCATTAGTGATCCGAACTCTTCTCTGCTTTTCTCTGGAGAAAGAGCCAGCCTCGTTCACTCCTCCTCTCCTTGCCTGACCCCTGCTCCAGCATTCCTGGTGCATGCTCTCCTCATCCCTGATCATGCAAGGGACATGGCCTCATCCACTACTGCCATTCTTCAAAGAACTCCCTGCACATGGGACGTCCACATGTTCTGTACCTGCTAGCAGGCTCCCGCCCCATCGCTCAGCTGACATTTGTCCCAGCAGCCTCTGAGTCTGTTAGCCTTGATTCCCCAGCACGAGGCTTATCCTGGGCCATGAGCCCCTCACTCTGCCAACAAAATCCACAGCAGAGCAAGCTGGAGCCATGGGCCCGCTGGCCAGCATCCTAAGAAGGAGGGGACCACAGGGAAGCAGAGAGGTTCAACAGAGAGAGGCAGATGGAGGCAGCAGACTCGGATGGTGAAGAAGGAACTGGGCTGTCCAGAGAAAGAGCAGGGGCAGCCTCCTCACCCCTGCCTCCCTCTCTAGCTCACCAAAGCCCAGTCTTGCCCCAGGTACAGGCGCCTCCTGGAAAGTAAGTTGCTTTTCCTAAACCCACTCTGTGGTCACTGTTGCTAATAAGCCCGACAATCCTCCCAATAGGGCATACATAGCCTGTTCGCATGGATGCCTGGTGGAGGCATCTGGGTATCTAAATCCCCACAGAAATCCCCCAAGAAAAACCCAGTAGATTCTTGGTATCCATGGACCATGGCTCTGAGTCAGGGGCTTCATCCAGAGAGCTGGGCACTGTCACTACCTAGCCACACCTTGGCACAGCAGGGCTGCTTCCCAGCTGACTCAGGACAGGGAAAACAAAGCCACAGTGGTAGGAAGAGAAGCAATGCTGGGACACAAACCTGAGGACCCACAGAGGACAGGACTTGAAGGGCCATGGGAGCCGGGGGCAGAAAGGAGAGGTGAGGACAGGAGAGAGCCATTCTATCTGCAGAGGGCGTTCCAGCATCCCCTCATCCAAGAGGTGGTGCCCACCTGTCCTGGTTGCCACCACACTGCCCTTAGCCCCAGCTGAAGTCATCTTGTGCATTTGTCTCTTTGTTTATCTGCTGTCTCCCCGACAGGATGAAGGCACAGCCCTCCTGTGTTGGGCAGATGGATGCACAAGGAGAGGGAGCCATGAGCCGAGGCCCCAGGCTTCTCCCCAAAAGCCTGCCCTGCGTGGGCAACCCAGGGAGGGATGAAGGCACAAAGGGCGCTGCCCCCAGGAGGCCGCAGATGCCGCACAGCCCCTCCACTGCCGGAGATAGTGTGGGTCGCCAGCCGGAGGGCCCCTCCAGAGCTTAGATCCTGAACATCTGACAGTCCTTTGCGATCACCTGCTTGAACCCCGAGGCTCGGAAGGGAAGTATCTCAGGGTCACACCTGCAATTCCCAGCAAGGCTAGAGCAGCTGGGGTTTCCTGCATCTCTGGGCCAAACTCAGCCCGCTCCTCTCCTTGCCAACTCCAGTCCCCACTCTGCTGCACGGCTGGGCACTTAGAGACGAGACGCTGCGGACCAGATGCAGGGTGTGGGGTGCTCAGGGCAGGCTCTGGAAAGTGCCACCCAAGCTCAGTGCAGGCAGGGCCAGCCACGGCAGACTCGTCAGTGGAGGTGGCCAGGCCGGAGACGCAGAAGCCCACACACACGGGGCTGAGAGGGCCTTCTGTGCCCTGGATCGCGGACCCAAGGAAGGATTGTCACCCAGGACCACAAAGACTAAGGCGGGGCTGGCTGCTTCTGCCCCACAACCTGGGGGAGCTGGGGCCTGAGACATCTTAGAGGCCACCCTCTGAGAAGTTTGGGGGTCCCCAGGTGTGCAGATGGGGAGTGGGCAGGACCCTGCACCTACTGTCAACTCCAGCCAATTTTGGGTAAGACTAGAACAGCCAATTGGGATTATGAGTTCAAATGACTAAAAAAATTTAAAAGCTATTTTCCCACTACAGCCTTCAGGAGTTTGTAGGGGCACCAGGCTGCCTTTCTAGGCTCTCGGTTTGGTTTGTCCTGAGTTCCCTGATAGTTTAGCATACTTCAGACCCCCAGGCCATGGTATTAGAGAAATGGGAGACTGGGTTTAGGGGTGGGATGTGTACGTGGCAATTCTAGACTCCCAAGTCACCAAGCTGCAATCACCAAGTGACAAGTCTACTGCCATCCTGGGAGAGGAGGGGCGATTAGGAAAATGACCCTCCTTCCGCCCCAGCCAAAATAATCCTTCTCATACCCTGAAGATGATTCTCGTTGCAAGGCAAAGCCTTCTCTAGGAAGGAATTCATTTTTAAAGTATCATCCATCGCTTACACCTGAGAGTGAATGAGTTTATCGGACCCTTCCTGAGAACAGGTCTTTCTGAGAGGGTAGGTTAAGCTGTTGTACAGAAAGGCTCTGAGTTCCCAGCCAGTGCAGCAGGCCAGGAAAAGGAAGCTGGGAGGGAGGATGTGGAGAACAAAGCAGGAACATGGGGCACGTGGATGGTGTGAGGACAGTCCTTCCCCCGGGCCCGAGGGCCTTGGCAGGTGGGAGCGGCCCCCCAGGAATAGGGTTTGTAGGTCCAGGCCTCAGTGCAGGAGGCTTCACAGGCACATGAAGGCACCTGCCAGGAACAGAGGAGACTGGTGTCCCTGGAGTAATGGAGAGGCAGCCCCATCCTGACCCTGACACCAGAAATAGGCAGGAGGGAGGGAGGCCTCCGAGGACGACACACTCTGCAATGCTGCCAGGCTGCATCCGGGACCCAGATCTACGGTACTAGCAGCAGGACAAGAAGCGGACAGGGTACAGCTGCCCCCAAAGGCTGCATTGGGAAGGAGCTGGCTGGGTGTCACTGACATCCCCGGTCCCCAAGGGCCCTGACCAGACGGCTCCAAAAGCAGAAAGACAGCGGGGCAGTGAGAAGCAGAGGTGCTGCTTCGGGAGGCAGGGCCTGGCTTGGAGGAAGCCTCTGCGAGGCCGACTGGTAGGGCTGTCTCCGCAGGCCTGTCACACCTGTGGGCAAAGGTGCATGAGAATGAGGGAAAGGAGTCTCCGGACAGGAAGACTTCCCTGTGCCAAGCCCCCTACCCACTGGAGGTCAGACACCAAGAGCCTACTAGTTGAAGCGGGTGGGGTCTTGTGAGCTGTTCAGCAAAGCCAGGGCTCCCTGTGTGCTCGCGTGGGGTCCAACCATCCCAGGCAGGCAGGGACGGGCATTCTGGAGACCTGCACTGTGGTTGCTGGCCAGTGCACACGTGGGGCAGGGAGTCCCCACTCACTGTGCACCTGCAGCCCTCCGCCCCTGGCCAGGGCCCTCCTGCTCTGCTCACCTCAGCATCCAGGGAGGATTCTGACTTCTTGGCCCACTGAGTCCTCTTGGCAGCTGCCACCTCTTTCTGCACCTCCTGATTGAGAACATTGGGGTGGAGACCAGAGGCTAAGGCAGGTCTGGCAAAGGGTCCCCAGCCTCCCCCTGCTCCAGATGGAGAATGGCCCCAGGCCTGTGCCTCCTCTCTGCTGCCTGCTGACCCAAGGGCCACCCATGGTCACCCTCCCTACTTCCACAGCATTTCCACGCCTGAAATGATCCACTGCTTTGGGGCTGTCCCTTCCCTGACTCAGATCATTCCGTTCCCTAAAGGACCCCCATAAGAGCCACCAAGGAGGGGCAGGGTACCTGGGGGTCCTGGCCCCCCGACTCCTGGGTCCTGCTAATCCACAGATTGAGCCTTGACGTCACGACCCCAGACAGCCTCAGGTTGTCCTAGGAAGACACGCTCCGTCTCAGGGCTTGAGGCCACTGGCAACAGCAAAGTCTTTGCAAAGGCCCTGGAACAAGGACAGGATTCCACCCCATGCCCACGTCCCTCCGGCACATGGCGAGTACCTAGGACAGTCCCACCATGGGAACTGCGGCCCCAGCCAAGCTCAGGAGCCCGAATGGCAAGTTGAGCTCCTGCCAACACTGACATACGAAAACAAGTTTTCCAGCCCTGTCACTACTTCCTTTTGGGCTTTCGAGACCTCTGGGATCCTCAGCCTAGAGATGCCAGCTGGGCTTCACCCCTCACCTTCCGGCTGGAGGCCGGTTCCGCACGGCCCTGGCCAGCCATCTCCTTCTCAAAGAGGTGGCGCTTGCTGGCTACACCCGTAGGAGCCACAAAGAACTCAGTGCGGGAGGAGCCTTGGGACCGGACGGATTCCGATCTCTAGGAACAAAGACACAAGCGGCTGAGCTGTGAGCTCGAGCTGCACGGACTAAGCCCACCGCTCACCCCCACGTCCCACCTGCACCGCCGTGCGGTATCTCTCCAGCTTCTCGTCCAGCTTCACTGTGCTGGCCGGCAATCTCACGCTTGCGCTGCAGGGCGGGAACCCGGGACAAGACAAAACAGTGAGACCTCCACCTCAAGGGCGCCAGGCCCGTGCCCAGGTCTGAGAAGTGGCCCTCATCACACCCCGCCACACCGGCCAAGAGCGCCTGGCCCTCCATGGCAGAGTATATAAGTAAGGGACAACTTGGCCAAGGTGCCCAGAAAATATAGGACAGGAGGGAGTCAAAGCCTCCAGGATGCCCCCACCTGCGGGTTAAGGTTGTCTCTGAGTTGTCTCTCCTGGGGCTCATCTGAAATAAGGAGAGGAGCCACTGGTGAGTGGGGGGTCCCAGGGAGACCTGTGCCTCGCCTCACTCAAGGCCCAGGCCCAGCTCTCAGAGTACTTCCTCCTCCTAACCCCTGCCAAGCCTGCACTGAAGGGCCTGGCCTTGCCTGGGAAGTACCTGGCTCTACCTGCCAGTCAAGAGTCCAAAGCCTACCTCTGCCTCCTCCATCCTTGCTCAGGGGACCTGGAATCACCTGTCCTCCTACCTGCACAAGAGCCCTGACAGCACCGATCAACCTCGGGCCTCCAGCCTCCTCCCCAGGGCCTGGCACACATTAGGGCACAAGGCAGTCAGTCAATGAATGAGCAGATGACCCGGGGAGGAATGAACAAAGAATACGGACTGGGATGAGACTAGATGAGACTGAGACACACAACTGGGACAGGGGCAGAGCAGAGAGCATCAGAGAGCTCTACCACCCTCAGCCCTAGGAAGAGAGCCTCCTGGGTGAGGACCCAGCAAAAGAGGGCGGAACGAGTTGGGGGTATGCACCATCTTCCTGCAGCTCTGGCCTTCCCCACTAGGTAGCGTGCTCATGCTTATTCACACTCCCTGATCATCTCCTTGCCATGGGAATCCAAAGCCACCGCCCCTCCCCCATCCAGAGGACCTGCTTGCTCTCTCAGTTAAGGCTCTCATTCTGTAAGGCATGCTGCTTTCCTTGGCTTGCCCACCAGTGCATTGGTGAAAAGGGTTCCCTGGACTCTCACCCGAAAGGAAATGGTCCTGGGGCTGGAGCGTCTGAGAGAGGTGCTATAGGTGACCTGGGTGGGTGAAGGTGTGTCTGGCTCCTCCTCCTTGCTGGGGATTCTCACCTGAATGAGCAAGGGGAGTGTCACGCAAGAGGTCTAGAACTCACCTTCCTTGGCAGAGGCCTAGGGCCCTGCCAGGCCCAGGCAGATGCCGAGCTACAGCTGCCACAGGGACCCCATGTAGCCAGGCTCACCCCAGGAGCTGCGAGAGTAAGGGACAGTGAGACAACCCTGGGCCTCACTCTCCGGCCTCTGCTCTGGGGCAGCCAGCATAGTCCCATGGGCCAGGCCACCAGGCAGAGCTTTCCAGGAGAGCTTCTGGAAGGGTCTGAGGCTTCCCGCTGGGGTGGACGAGGGGTGGTGCAGGTCCCATCGCTCCCTGCCGCACCACTGTTGCCCCTTTCAGCTCCAGCAAACTGCCCCTGCCTCTGTGGCCCTGTTCTCACAGTAGCTGCCATGGCCAGCCTGCAGGTGGGAGGACAGGAGGCAGCAAGGCGCAGAGGTCCTGGGGCAGGACTGGCAGGGAGGCCAGCCAGGGAGGAGGAGGGCTGGAGGGGCAGGAGCACGGCCAACCTGGAGTGTGATGGGCAGGAAGCGGGAGGCCACAGCTGGAGGGCCAGGCCCCTTGCGCTCTGCTGCGGAGGAAGACGGGCTCTTCCCGGAGACGGCCCTTCCTTCTGGCTCCAGTGTGCTGGCCCGGCCTCCCCCAGCGGCCCGGGGCTGCTCAGATGCAGCTGCCTTCTTGGTGACCAGCTTTATCTCAGTGGCTGAGGACTTCTCAAAGAAGGATGTTTTCTCAGACACCAGGGAAGATGCTTTCTCTGGTGGCTTCTCAGAGACACTGACTTTTTCTAGATCTTTTTTCTTGTCTGCTGTGGACCTTTTCTCGGGTGCTGCTGTCTTCTCAGACACAGGTACTTTCTCAGGGGCCACTGACTTCTCAAGAACGCTTGATTTTCCTGGAGCAGACTTATCTGGGGTGCCTTTCTTCTCCAGCGCTGCCTTCTTCTGGCTCAGAGCTGTCCTCTCTGGGGCCAGAGGCTTTTCAGAGAGGCAGGATTTTTCTGAGACCAGTCTCTTTGTGGGTGCCACAGTCTTCTCCAGCACAGAGGACTTCTCCAAGACTGAGGTCCTCTCTGGAAGTCCCTTTGTCCCCGCTCTCGGCTCCTTGATCTGGAAGCACTCCTCGTCCTGGGCCCAAGGGCCCCGCTGCTCTTGGCTCAGTCTCCGGCGGGGTGGGGCCTCCAGTTCCTTCTTGGGCTCCATGGGCTGCTGCGTGACCTGTTCGGGGCTGGAGCTGTCCCTTCCCTCCTCAGCCTCCAGCCTCTCCCGCACGGGGACCTGGTCTTCCACTGCCTTGTGCCTCTGCCTCTGTCTCCGCTCCTGTCGTGTCCTGAGGATGGCCTGGATGTCTTCATCCTCATCTTTGGGGACTGGGGGTGATGGCCTGGGCGCCTCTGTTTCCTCCACACTGGGTAGCCTGAATCAGAAGACAGGAAATGGAATCAAAGGATATCATGGATGAGAGGGACCCTGGGTGAACTCAACCCAACAGTGATGCCACCAGGGCCACTGTGGAGGGGTCCAGAAAAATCAGACACTTGCCTTCCTGGCCCACCACCATCATCTTATAAGGATCACTTGTATCTGCTGTACATTTTGGGCTTCCATGGTATCATTTGAACAAAGTACTCCATGCTCCTTAAAAAGTTTACAGACCCCCATGCTGGGAGTGGTGGCACACGCCTGTAATCTCAGCACTCAGGAGGCTGAGGCAGGAGGATCGCTGTGAGTTTGAGACCAGCCTGGGCTACATAGTGAGTTCTAGGTCAGTCTCAACTACACAGTGAGACCCTGTCTCAAAAACAAAAAACAAAAAACAAACAAACAAAGTTTACAGACCCCCATAGAGTGCAACAAACATGTGAAGGCCCTGCAGTGGGCACTGATGACCCAAAGGAGTAAATGCAGTCCCCTTAGTGCTTAGAATGAGACCAGAGGTGTTCAGGACTTGTCCAAGTTCATACAGTGGTGGGAAAGCTGAAGGAGAACCCAAAGCTTTTTAGGCATCGTCCCCTACACACGTCAGCCCCATGGGTGGGGCTGGGACCAGGTGGCAGCCACAGGTTTGGGGCAGCTCAGGGTGTACCCCGGTCTCCCTTCTATGGGGGACAAAGGAACAAGAACAACACAAAAGGATCACTCAAACCACTGAGCACTTTGTCTCCAGCAAAAGGAGATTCTTTTCTCCCACTGCCCTGCTCACCATCTGATTTCTGGCAAATTAATTATCTGATCCCCAAATTTCAAATCTGCAAGCTGGGCTTCTCAGGGGTGAAATGACACTCACACACACATCCTCTGAGAGTGCCCAGCACAGTCCCGGCAAATAAGTGGCGTTCGCCATGTTCCAGGCTCCTCTTCCTTTCTCTCTAATCCCAGAATGTAATGCAAGATTGGCCCCCAGGTTCCTCCACTCACAGAGTGTCAGGGCTGGAGGGGGGAGGCTTGGCTGAATGGAATAGAGTTCACAGAACTTGACAATCTGGGTGAGAATTCTGGCCTTGCTACTCTTTCAGGTATTTGATCCCTTCAACTCACCTATGTCTTGCTGCTCCCTGGTTCTCCCACTGCGAAACAATAGTATATGTGAGGACTAAGCAAGCTGTGTCCATAGAACATCCAGCAAAGTATGGGCTTGTGGGGGGACTCGATCTTTTAGGCCAAGGTGGGCCCTGGCAGGGCTGTGGAGGGTTCCAGGAAGGCGAGGAACTTGAAGTTCACATTCATACCTTTTGCCTCATTCTCTGGGCCTCAAGCTCCTGGGCAGCCAAGCATATTTCCTGTAGTCTGTCCAGGGCAGCTAAATCCATCCCGTTCACCTAGGATGCCACCATGACGCCCAGCCGGGGGCCAGCCCAAGTACCTCTCAGCAGCCCGCCGGTCTCCATTCTGGGTGGGCCTGGGAGCCTCGTCATCCGTGGTAGAACTCAGGTGACGGTGCCGCCGTCTTCGTTCACGCTCCTGCTCCTCCTCATCCTCCAAAGTCCGCTGCCGGGCCAGGCTGAGGGAAGGGGGTGAAGATTAGCACAGTCCTTGGACACCTGAGCACCATTCCCAAGGCAGACTTCCCAGCTGGGGGAAGACGAAACACAGTGCAGGCTGCCCTGGCTCCAGGTGGTCCCACAGCACTGGCCACGCAGACTGTCAGAACCGAGATGTGTTGTAGGGTAAAATACACACCAGACTTCCAAAGCTCAGGATGAAAAACAACACGTAGAATCTGTCATTCAGAATTGTGTGGCCAGGCATGGCAGTAGGCACCTGGAGCCCCAGCTACTTGGGAGGCTGAGGCAAGAGTATCACCTGAGTCCAGGACTTAAGACGCCAGACTGGGCAACACAGTGAGACCCTCACCTTAAAAGAAAAATTATGTATATTGATTACATGTCAAAATGATATTTGGATATAATGAGGTAAATGAAATATAACTATTAAAAGTATTTCTCTCTCTCTACTTTTGGAATGGGACTACCAAACAACTTTAAATTTTGAACGCAGTTGATACTGTATGATGTTTGGCTTCGATTTCCCCCCAGATTCTCAGATGTGTGTGGAAAGTGACCGGGTCGTGGGATACTACACCCATCTGTGGATCCGATTCATCCACTAATGAGCCCAGCAGCTGGCGGTGCTGTAAACGGGTGGGGCACTGTGGACCTGACCCGGAAGCTCATCTCCCTCCCCAGTCCTTCTGCTTCCTGGCTACATGTGATGAGCAGCTGTCCTCCACCCGGGCCCTTCCACCATGTTGTTTTTGCCTTGGGGTTTGCCAACCGTGAACCGAAATGTGTAAAACTGTGAGCCACAGTAAACATCTCATCCTTTAAATGGAGGGCATCAAATACTATGTCTCAGTGATGGGAAGATGATGAAGACATTAAATTTCTTTGAAATGTGCAGGAATTTGAGAGACCATGGCTTCACTCTCAGCACCATTGACATTTGCCCAGATAATTCCGTGTGGAGGGGCTGGACAAAGGAGGTTTACTGCATCTCTAGACACCAGCAGCAGTACCCCTCAGTTATAACAACCAAATGTGCTTCCCAGTGTTAGAAGATGTCCTCTGGAGGCCAAAATCACCCTAGATGAAAAGCAGTGTTGGGCTCAATGACCCGGATTCTGGTCTTCCTGCCCTGAGCAAGTCATTTGCTCTTCTCTTCCCAGTGTTTGCTGCTAACACGAGGAGAAAGGAGCCACATGACGCTTCTGGTTTCTCTAGGTCCAGCATCACATCCACAGAGTCAACAGAACAGTCATGAGATGTACTTTTTTTTTGCACGTATTTGCCAGGTGCAATTCCAGGCACTGGGATACAGCAGGGAATGAGACCAACAGAGCCCTTCCCTTCATAAAGCACATGGTGGGAGCCACACAGTGAGCAAGGATGCAAGCCCATGAACAAAATGACATCAGTGAGGTGTCCTAAGGACAATAGGCCGAGGAAAGTGATACGGGACAGGGTACTACAGTAGGAGGCCTCTGAAGACCTGGTCCACAAGGAGAAGCCAGGACAAGGGCACCGCAAGAGCAGAGTCCTGGTGTGAGAAGCTGGGTGTTTGGGGGACAAGGGTAAGCCAGGGCCAGAGAGAGGCCCTCAGGCAAGCTGGGCAGGGAACAAGGGCAGAGCAGAAGGCCCAGGAGACCCCTAGAACCCCCATGGTGACTGCACACAGCAGATGACAAGTGCAAATGCCAGCTCTCACCACTGCAGGCTCCTCCTGTTCCTCCCCAGGAATCTCTAGGCCTGGGCCTCGATCCAGAAGAGCACAGAGTAGGGATCACAGCCTGAGCCCCCAAAGACAACCTGCATAGGGAGGGCACCTGCGCATCACCCCCACCCCCCGAAAGAGCTGCCCTGGAAGAGCACCTTCCAGATCCTCCCGTTCTGCCATCAAAGCAGCTGTGCTTGGCGTCAGCCTCAGCCCCCATGAGTCACACTTCTACTCCACCGCTGTGGCAACAGAGAAGGGCACTGGCCAAAGTCTTCCCCTGTTAGCCTTGAACACAGAACCTAAGTGAGATTCCCCTGGGCCTTTGCATGAGCCCTGCAAACTCCACATATCTGCAGCTTCATTCATTCATCTGCTCACTCGCACACACTGGTCTCTTGAGCCAGGCCGACAGCCACCTCTCCTCAACTTCTTATCCGGGCTCCCTGTTAGTTCTTCTACTTGTTTTCATTCATGGTCACTTCTTCAGCAATTTTCTTCTGTAGCTCACTTCCCTGCCCTGGTTCCTAGTTTAGGAACAGCTCTTGCCCTCAAAAAGGGATCCACATACTGCAGAAAGTGACCCACAAAACCCAAAGCTCCTTCCTCAGTCACACCCACAGAAGGGCTGGGCCGCTGCCTCCAGGATTCTTTGGTCCTGAGCAACCTGGTTCCCACACGCCGCTCTCTGCCCTCGGGGAAGCTGCATGTTTGTTTATCCTCCTGTGCGGCCATATATGATGTGTGATCTGCCTGAGCCTGGTCCCCTCAGAAGTGACTCACTCCCCGGGCTTGGCCAGGGGTCTCCAGGGCTGCTGTAGGAGGCTGAGCTCAGGAGTCCTTCAGTGGTCCCAGGCTTTACACCAAGACTCTTCCACCCACTCCAGTGACATGGTCACCACCCCTGCTGCTCAAGAATCACAGGACACCACTATCACCCCCCTGGGGCAGAATGCTATCACCAATAAGCGAGGATTATTGGCCTTTAAAAATGAGAAGTGTGGGTTGGGGATTTAGCTCAGCGGTTCGGTGGCCTGCCTTGCAAGCACAAGGACCTGAGTTCAATCCCTGGTACCAAAAAAAAAAAAAAAAAAAA